TCAGTTTTGGGCCCCTCACTACAGGAAAGACATTGAGGTCCTGGAGCATGTCCAGAGAAGGGCCACAAAACTGGTGAAGGGTCTGGAGAATATGTCTTATGAGGAGCGACTGAGGGAACTGGGCTTGTTTAGCCTTGAGAAGAGGAGGCTGAGAGGAGACCTGATCACTGCCTACAACTACCTGAAAGGAGGTTGTGGAGAAGTGGGTGTTGGTCTCTTCTCCCTAATGACAGATGATCGGACAAGGGGGAATGGACTCAAGCTGCGCCAGGGGAGGGTTAGATTGGATGTAAGGAAGAAATTCTTCACCGAAAGGGTTATCACGCACTGGAACAGGCTGCCCAGGGAGGTGGTGGAGTCACCATCCCTGGATGTGTTTAAGAGATGGGTGGATGAGGTGCTGAGAGATATGGTTTAGTGGTGGACAGATACGGTTGGACTGGATGATCTCTAAGGTCTTTTCCAACCTAGTGATTCTATGATTCTATGATTATATCTTTTTTCAAGACATTGGATTATTTGCATATTAAAATACAAAATGAGTATTGGGATGAATAAGGAATGTGGGGAAGGAGGAAGACAGTAATAAATTTAAATAAAATTCACATATAACCAAAGACTTTCTAAGAAAAGCATTGCATTTTCATATACTGATGTTGATTTTTGAAAAAATCACTAATGTATTTGAACAGAAACTTCTATTTAATTTTTTTAGCATACATTTTTTTCAGTTTATTTTTAATGAGCAAATTCAAAGGCAAAACTACAGCTTAGTCTTACCCTTTCAAACCTGGAAAAAGCCTGAGTTTGTTCACCTCACTATGGACAGCTAGCCAGTATTCAAGTAGGTTGGTTGGGTGATGAGCTGCCACACAGACATCATGAAGTGCTGGTGGGGAGTAGCCCAGCACAGGACAATGAGCCACTGTGACTGTTCCCTGAAGTCTTTATGTGGTCGGGACTGTTGGCCGTTTGTTTAGAGCACTGCGTTTCTCCACACAGGTTGGTAATAAGCTCCTGAGTTGCTTCTCGTGTTCCTGAGCAGTATTCCAGTCACTGACGTGCCGGAGGAGAGCGTTCTCTGTGCAGTGGTTTTTGAAGTCTGGGAACACTTGCATGTTTTGGATGCACACCATGTGCTGATCCTGATGTTGTCGTTGGATGTCTGCAGCCGGCCCCGACGAGCAGCATCCCTTATCCATTCCTACACCTCACAGACAGTTTGGAGGAATCTCTATGCTGCCAAGATGCAGCCAGACTGCCTCATTTATGACGTAATTTTTATTGTTGGCCTTTCAGTAGTAGTCTGTTTACTGATTTACATATATTTTTTTTTTTTAAATCTCTGTTTGATGCAGTTCTTTGAGGAGGGCCTTCCCTTCAAGCATGGCTGGGGAAGATCGGTCAAATGTGGTTAAACTCAGTGTTGATGGGCACCTTACAGATCTTCCAGAGATGGGCTTTTACAGCTGTTAGATGGCTAACCCCAAACAACTTTATTTCTGTCTTCTGCTTGCTGTCTCAAGTTCTTGCATGATGGGTTGCTAATCTATATCTGACTCTTAGGAGTAGGCAAAGTTATGTATATGATAGCAACAATGCAAACTTAATTATTATTTACACTGACCTAGCAGTTTAATTGGCTCACTGTCTTGCTGGAACAAGCCCTGTTGTCTGAAACATTTGGCATTGTGATTGTCTTTCTGCCGTAGCTACTTCTAATTTCTGAATGAAGGCTTGGGAATGTAGTCAACTACATGTCTGTATCACAACAGGAAAGTTTGAAATGCTGGGTCGTGGCCTCTGGAGGCTTCTAGCAAGTGAGAATGACAAGTAGGAAGAGAATATCTTATTAACATAAAGAGTTGGGTTTGGGGTATATTCTCATGTATTTAAAAAAAGCAGGGGTGGGTGGTGTGGGGAAGAGAAGTTCCCAGTGATAAGGGTTGGTGATCCTCTCTCAGGCAACTGTATCTTGCAAAACCTATAATGTAGCTTTCTAACAATAAATAAATTTAATAACTGCATGTGGTAGAATGGATATGAATTTCTACTTAAACTATGACGTGTGGAGTATTCTGCCAATGTAAATGTAAGTGGCCGTATGAATGGAAGAACTAGTGACCCAATGTTTTTTTTTTCATTATTATTCTTTTATTATGGCTGTGCAATCTTATCGCTATTACCCTTTTTTTCCTCCCTTTTTGCCTTTTTTTCTTCCTGGCAGATTAGTCATGGCTGTTGAGAGAGACTCCTCAGAAGCATTGTAAATGCTGCAGCACCATGGCCATCACTACAAAATCTGAACTAGTAGGAGGTCTTTTTATGAAAACAATGCTTCTCGGATAGTTTCAGTCTTCTAATTTTAGTGTGCTGTATCAACAAGCTTAACAAGATACTCTTCTTTTTGAGGGTTGGTTCAAACCCTCTAACTTTCTGGAGGCCTATTCCTTATGTGGAGGAAATGTTTTTCTTGTAATGGTGGTGTGTAATGTGCTGTAGTGGAACTTAAACTGCCCAGGGGCAGTTTTGAGGTTGCCAAGTCTGTAGGACTAGGCATCTTGACTGTTTTTCCTAGGGGAGAACACAATCATCAGGTTTATTGTATGGTGACAGATGTTTAATTTGTAAATGGCACGGCAGCTTCAAGGACTGTGTGTTTGGCATAGAATGTTTCAAATACTGGTTTTACGTCAGAAGACAGCTATGATCTATGGCTGGAGCTGCTGCAGTTCTGCTTGCTTTCCCTTTTTAATTCTCTTGAGGAAGACTGCCCTTAACCCATTGCTAATAATCTGTTACAGTTGAGGTGATGTCTTGTCATGATGTGAATTATGGAAAAATCCTGGTGATATAAAGCCTGTAACATTCAAACATAGTCTGATAATTCCTTTATTTTCATTGTCTTTCAGTGTTGTGTTTGTACAGCTTCCATAATAACAAGTTGGTTTAGTTGGGAGAATGGGGTGGGAGGGGGTGTTTATGTGCCCTAGCAGTCAGATACCTGAATCAGAGCTAGCAGTCTCAACTCCGTTCCTAATATTCTGAAATGTCCTAAAAGTCCAGATTGGTTACACTCAACTTCAGACATATACCAGACACATCTAAGCCATAAGTATCATCATCATATTGTGTAATTAGTAGCTTCTTTCTGAAGGGTTCACACAGACTGCAGCTTGAAAGGCACAGTGGCAATGATTTCCTTTTTATTTTCAGTAGAAAGCACATAGAAGTACTAGTTTCCTAATGTAATTGGGGTGAATTTGTCTAAACTACAGTTAGTACTCCTCATGTCCAGTTGCATTACAGCTGTCCTATAAACTGTGTTTGCAGTCATAGTAAGTTGGGTTAAGACAGGTTGATCCACATTTCCCCAGTAGTTCTTCCTTCCAGGTTATGTGATCTTTTGTAACATGAGAGATCACGATGTACAGTGTTTTGTGCCAACTGCATCTCTTGTGATCCAAAAATATCTTGCTACTGCAGTCACAATGACATCGTATTGGGTCTTGCAGAAGTTATTTCCATTCAACAGACTGTTCAGCATACCAAAATGCCCTCTGGTCCAGAATAAAATTCATTATCACAGAATGATAGAATGGTTTGGGTTGGAAGGGCCCTTAAAGCCCATCTAGTTCCCCCCCCCCTGCCATGGGCAGGGACCCCTTCCACTAGATCAGGTTGTTCAAAGCCACATCCAGCCTGGCCTTGAAGACATCCAGGGATGGGGCATCCACAGCTTCTCTGGGCAACCTGTTCCAGTGCCTCAACACCCTCTCCGTGAAGAACTTCTTCCTGATATCCAAACTAAACCTCCCTGCTTTCAATTTAAACACATTACCACTTGTCCTGTCACTACAGGCACTTGTAAAAAGCTCCTCCATGCTTCCTTATAGCCCCTTCAGGTACTGGAAGGTGCTATAAGGTCTCCCCGGAGCCTTCTCTTCTCCAGCCTGAACAAGCCCAACTCTCTCAGCCTGTCTCCATAGCAGAAGTGCTCCAGCCCTCTGAGCATCTTTGTGGCCTCCTCTGGACTCACTCCAACTGGTTTATAGCCTTCTGATGTTGAGGGCTTCAGGGCTGGACACAGGAATCCAGGTGGGGTCTCTTGAGAGCTCAGCAGAAGGGGAGAATCCCCTCCCTCGACCTGCTGGCCACACTTCTCCTGATGCAGCCCAGGATACTGTTGGCTTTCTGGGCTGCCAGCGCACACTGCCGGCTCATGTCCAGCTTTTCATCCACCAGTACCCCCAAGTCCTCCTCAGGGCTTCTCTCAATCCATTCTCTGCCCAGCTTGTACTTGTGAGCTAGGCAGCAAGTGACAATATGCCTGTGACCTTTGACTGCTGTTTGTAAATGTTTTTCATGGACCTTCTTAGGTACTTAGCCCATTCTACCTTAAAGACAGGTGTGGAATGTTATTAACTTGTTTATAACATAACATTCATCTGGCAGTTGTGTAATATGTACATCTGGTTGAGTGTGCTAGTTGTGACTCGGTGCCAGAAGCAGAAATACATACTAGGATTCCTACTCCCCCAAGTCATACCACAATCTGCAAAATATTTGTTGATAAAATACCTGTGCATTTCAATCTGGATCTGCTGATCTGAATAACTGGAATATTAGACCCCTACTAAGTTTGTATACTACATGCTTGTAGTCCTTGAAGCCCAACTGCATTTAATGTGTGATTTAAGGAGAAACCCTGCAATTCATACTGTGAGGACATTCAGTAGGAAGAGCTGCAGGAGCCAAAGAAACTGTGTCCAGCTGTGATGTGGTTCACAGCAAAATTCTGGGTTGTGGTTTTCCATTGCTCGTGGCATGATGGCAATAGCTTGTCAGTTGCTGGAAAATTACTAATTCATGCTCTTTTAGTTGGAGGTGAAGGGAGAAAGAAAAGGTATGAGCAAACCTGTAACTTCCCCTGAGTACCTGAGTACTGCAGTTACTGTATCTGGTAAGTTAATGCATCTACTGTTGTTGTCTTATCGTAGATAAACTCTGAAGAACGTGTTGATACAGCTGATCAGGAGACAGTCTCTTGGGATCGCACTATTCCTGAAGACATAAAACAAAAAATACAGCCTAAAGAGGTTCCAGCAGAAAGTGTTACGGTCTGGATCGATCCGTTAGATGCTACACAAGAATACACAGGTAGCTGATTCTTGTTGACAAATCATGTGTGTAATTCTGATGTCTGCCTTTTATACTGGAGACAAAATAGTAAGTATTTAAAATCACATCTCTTGTTAAAGTGTGTTATGTGTGATTTTAAAGCTAGTGTGATTTTAATTGGACAAATTGCCTAATGAAATCATACCATTTACTTTAATACATAGACCAACTCTGAAATGACTTTGGTATACCTTGCAACTAATTATTGCTAAAATGAGTGGTAACTGTCACTTACAGATTCTGCTGGAATGACGTTTCCTTATTTCATTTATTGCTGTGGCAGCACTAAATATCTCAAAATATTTTTTCTGTTTGTTTATTTAAAGGGAATACCAATTAAATATTCTATTTAATTTTATATTAAAAAATTAAAGTTTTTCAAAAAAACGTGTAATTTGATCTTCCCTGTTTTCAAATGTTTTAAGATGTTACCTAAGCAGTTAAAGGCAATCATACTCAAATTTTTGGTTGCAAGTACTGCAGAGTAAACAAAAAAAAGGGTGTTTCTTCCAAATATTCCGTTGATATAAACACCATTATAGGGGTGTGTTCTTGGGCATTTGAATTATCAGCTTTGAACCAATAGAGGATAGGAGGTGGAGTAGACAAGGGAGAATATAGGGATACAGATTTCCATGAAAATACGTGCTGCATGAGACACAACTCCTAGCATTAGATTTGGTAGGAGTGTCGGTTACATCTACTGACCAAGAAAAATTGCTGCAAAACAGAAAAATCTTCCAAGTAATTTGAAAACTGCAAGGTTATTTGAAGGTACAACAAAGTTACATAATTGTAAGAGGCAGAATGTAGGCTAGTCTTCAAAGAACGACATTTTTGTAATGTAGGGTATGCTTTCTTTTTTTGTTCCTGGCGTCTGGCTGTAAATTTGCTCACTTTCTCGTTTTTCCTGCAGAGGATCTTCGGCAGTATGTCACGACAATGGTTTGCGTGGCTGTAAATGGTAAACCAGTAATAGGAGTGATACACAAGCCCTTCTCAGCATATACAGGTACCTTTATGCCGTCACATATTTCTAGCATCTTCAGTCATAGTGTTAATTAAAATTTGATTTTTTTTTTTTTTTTTTAGAGAGCATCTGTGGGTATAAATGAGAAAATAGCACCTGGGGCAAGAGTGCTGCTGCAGACCTCAAAATTAGGGCTGCAAATGTGTTCTGTGCTATAAAACCACAGAGGAAAATGCCTCCTTGTATAACATAAAAAAGATGCATTTGAAACAAATGAACTGCAAATATGTTTAAGAATTAAGATCCCTTCAATTGGAGTGTTTATAACAAACCAAATAAAGTGAAACCTACACATACTGGCCAGTCTTGTGTGTTGTTAGTCTTTAGCAGAAGAGTACTTGGCTCATTTAGCAGAATAACTTAGATCCATGACATTATACCCAGGAGCTGGTGTTTATTCAATGTGAATAACAAAGGCATTTAAAGATCTTAATGGCAACTTTTTGTATGTAACAGGCAAGACTATCTAGCATAGCCTAGTGGTCATCTGACATGTTTTTAATGCCACAATCCTGAACTAATGAGTTCTTTAGTATTAATTATCTATCGGTGAGGATGGCTGCAGGTTTTGCAATGTGTATGCACTTCTGAAAGCTTGAAAGTAAGTTTTGGTATTTGTGTCCTGCTATACATATGAAACAGGAATTTCTGTTCTCGTTTTCCTTTAGGCAATGCTGACCTCTAGAGTTGTGAAGTTACACAGTAATTCTGGCACAGAAACAAAGACTGAATAAATGTATTTTTTCAATTTGTTCTCTCTTTGTGGCCACTCAACACTCAATATATTGTGCTAAATATTTTACTGTCTTTAAACATAAATTTAATTTCCAGTCATTTAAGTATGTGCTTTTCCAATGTGCTTTAAGAATCTTGGGGATTTTTGGAACATATTTTTCAAAGCATCAACATCTATCTGAAGAAATTTATTTTTTTTTTTTTTAGTGCTGTGATTTTGAGAATTTCTCATTTAATAATAGCAAAGTGTGAAATGTTCGGGCATCTGATGAGATGCAATGAATTCAGTCATTCCGTGTGAAGAGTATTCATTTCCCAAGCTGGAAATAACAATATGTTGTGAATAGAATTGTTCCTAATAGACCCACACAAATACAAAACAATAAAGGGCGGTCGGCAATGTTATTACACATAACTCAGCCTGTTGCCATACAATCTGGCCTTCTACTGAGATGAAATTGCTGGTTAGTCTGCTAAGTAAATGTCAAATTAATGGTTAGGGGATGCCACCTACTGAGCTTGGCTTTGAACCTCATGATGAAACAAGTGGGAGGTTGTGTATTCTAAATCCAGTCCTCCAGAACACAACATTAAATGTTTTCCTTAGTATTGCTGTTTTCCTGAGATGTTTCCTTCCTTAGCATTACCATACTTCTGAACAAAATGACCAATAACATTTTTGTTATCCACTTTGAAGCATAGTGGGACTTCTTGTTCTTACCAAAAGGTTGGCTGAGGGAATAGCAGGTCTATTTCTGACTCAGCCATACTTTTAACTTTGGTCATTTTCCAATTGCAAGTTCTAAATATTACTACTTGGGATTTCTCCCTCTTATTCTGTTTTTTGGGAGGCATGGGATAATGCCATATGCACAGAAGGGGGGTGGGGAGGGCCAGACTGGGCCATTTCTCTTCGCTTGTGTGTACATGTGGGCATGCACCCCTTCCTCCTATCAGTCCTAACTTTCCCTTTTACAGTAAGGAGGGAAATTGAGTCAGAGACATCAGTGCCATTTTCTAAGATGAGTATTCTTTCATCTTTACGCTTAAGAGATTGCCTTTTTTAAATCTTAGCAGAGTTTGTGTTTCTTTTTGTAGCCTGGGCAATGGTGGATGGCGGGTCAAATGTAAAAGCTCGTTCTTCCTACAATGAGAAAACTCCAACGATTATTGTATCACGCTCCCATGCAGGAAAAGTTGAGCAGGTTGCACAGCAGTCATTTGGAAATAAGACTGTGATAATCCCCGCTGGTGGAGCAGGTTTGGTTCCTTAAACATCCTTTCTATTTTATTGCTTCTGAATGATTTAATGGGATAGCTGTTATTAGACACAAGGATATAACTCTGGCGTCTCCTTTTTTTTCCTCTTACTGTTTGTTCTTCACATCCCTAAAAGTGAGCACTTGACAACAGGGAGGCAGTTTGTCCTCTGTATAGAAACCTACGTGCAAAGTTCGTTCATGCTTCAGGCTAGTGACAAGTTAGTATGTTAGTGATTCTAAGCCTGGACCAGCAATGTTACCGTGATCCTTTCACTGGGCACGCGGATGTGCCTTCACTTGAAGGTACTGACGCCTCTGTGGAGGAAAAAGGGTTGTGTGACCAAATACAGAATTGGGGAAGAGAATCTTTTGGTTGTTAGTAAACCCAGCAGTATGTTTAATTAAACAGTGTTTTAAGTACCAAACTGAAATGGTTTTTTTCCTCTTTTGACAAAAATGCAAAAACCAGAAAACTAATGTCACTGAAGTCCATTTTTATCTGCCTCATATTCAGCCTGAAAAGGTTTTAGCTTACTTTTTTGTGACCTTACACAATATCCTGTGCATGTTACCGACAGAATGCAAATATGTGAGCCACTAGTGTGAAGCAATAACTGGTTTAAAGTCTCAGAAAAGCCATGCAAAATTTGAATTTTACGGAAATGTATCTTTCTGAGTCTTTAATATGGAAAGCTAGAGTTCCCCTACAGGTTGCTTAGTCAAGATGATCTTGCATAGGTTCTTGACAGTGAATCCAAATGAGTTTTCCTATGATAAAGGAAGCAAAAGTGTAACTGATTATGGAAGGCCTTCTCCAGGGCTTGACTCTGTACAAGAGGATAAGGGAACAGTTTAATGAAACAAGGATGTTGGTTGAACAGTTAAAAAGTTAAAAAATTCTGTAAAAGAAAGAATACTATTTTGAGCAATAACTTTGTACTGCATAATGTATGGTAAAGGAGAGTGCCCTGGGCCAAGTTATTTTATTAGAGTGCTATATGCATCTTCTTTTTATTGTAATAAACCAAGGAAAAAAGGTGGACTTCAGCATAATACGGAGATTGAGAAATAAGTGAGTGAATGTAAGAAGAATTTTTCTTGTTCTTTTAATGTGTCTCTAGATAAGTTTATGTAGCATATTGGTAAAGATGTCTAAAAATAATGTGTCCCAAATACCCAAGTCTTTAATTGTGGTCTGGTGGAAAGATCTTGGGGTGGAGTCGTCCTTTTTCAAATTTTCTCTAGAGGTCAGAGGACAGACAAAAGTCTGTTGCTGACTCTGCCATTATATTGGATGGCATGATATAATTAATGACATAATTTTCTTAAATCTTGCATGCGTGTATTATTAACAATAGTAGTTTTATTATAGTAGTTTTAATAGTAGTGATATATAGGAAAACTCCATTTTAACTTTTTTACTTCTGCTCCTTTTTTCTAGGTTATAAAGTGTTGGCCCTCCTTGACGTGGGTGAAAAGAATCAAGAAGAAGCTGACGTGTATATCCATGTCACTTACATTAAGAAGTGGGACATATGTGCTGGAAATGCAGTGTTGAGAGCGTTGGGTGGCCATATGACTACCCTGACTGGTGAAGAGATCAGTTACACTGGCTCAGATGGCAATGAGGGAGGACTTATAGCCAGTATCAACATGAACCATAAAGCACTAATTGAAAAACTTCCAGATCTGGAAAAAACATCACACAAATAAACTTGTCTGATGGAGAAGTACAAGTCATGCTTTTGTAGCCTCCAGATGCTCTGTCTGAAGAGGCAGGTGTGAAAATCCGCGGGGAAGGATGCACAGCAAAGCAGTTTGGTGTGGGTTTGCGGACTATATCGTGCATTGGGTTTCTTCAGTGGTGGTATTTAAAAAAGGATAAAATAATAATAATCAGAAATAGGAAGGGGACTGACTGCCTCACACCTCAGTTGCCATGATTTATTTTTCTCAGACTGGTTTCAGTTCTTATACTCAAGGTGCATATACAGTATATATTTGTGAACGTAGGTGAACTAAAGACAAATCCAAATTGATTCATAAAATAACCTAAGTAGTTCTCACAGGAACTTCTTGGAACCTTTTGCATCTTGTTACTGTAGTTGTAGCAACTCCATAATGAGTAGGTGGGAAAAAAGGTTGGTTTGTATAGGCATCTGATAACTCTTTAAACAATTTAGCAGGAACCAGGACTCTGTTCTGCATCCCCTGAACAGGAAGCACAAGGTTGGTACAAATTTATATGCAGCAAGTTTATCTTTGATAGCGTGGCACTCCTTCTGCTTTTTAAGAGGGGAAAAATGGAAATGTTCTGTACTATTTTGGCTTTTTTCCTGAAGATGTAAACCCGTTTAGTTCAGATAGGTTGTGAATATCAGTGTTTCATTAATCAGTGTAATTATTTCCATATACCTCTTTAAAAGAAGGCAAAATTTCCTGGTATGGTTTTTAACAGTTACTTCTTGTCCTCGGTTTTTGCGTACGGTGTTGAAGATGCATGCTAGATTTTTCTCTAACGTAGGACTTGTTTGTCACTTGGTGTTTGTGCCTATAGAAGCAGCCTCTTCCTTCAGTACCTGTTTTTTTTTTGGTGGGTTTTTTTTTTTTATTTGGGTGGCAGGGTTTTTTTTCCATTAGACAGAATCATATGTAAAGAGTTTTAACAGAAATAGTAAGTTGCTTGGTTGTTTCCAGTTACAACATGAGAGTTAAACCAGCAACTTTTCTACAGCCACAGAAATAACTTTTTGTCTTTTTAGGTTGAGGCACACTCTTTTTTGCATAAAGCTCTTGAGCCATCCCCAACAGCTTGTGGTTACTTGTTTTGTGGAAACTTACGTAGAGAGAGACACCATTGAACTTGAATCTGTTTAAGCAGGTTTGAAGAGCATGTGGCACTTGGAAGTACAGCAGGGTCTGCAAAGCTTTACCAAAAAATGTGCTTTGTCAGTCCAACATACACAGAACAGAATATGGGCCCTTTAATTAAAATACGTGAACTTCTAGCTGCAAAAATGTAACCATCTGTATTGTTCTCTGCACCCCTGTGAAGGGTTTCAGAAGGTTAAAATGTACCAGTCATTTGAATTATTGGTAGATAAGCTTCCCATCTCCCCTCAAGAAAGCTAAAGTTCTTAATATAAATGTTTTCTGTTCAAATTTTATTCATTATAAGCTTAGACTGTTTAAACTCAATTACTTTAACTTTAATTTCTTTTATCATACCCACTATTCAGATTAAAAAGAGGGGTTTTTCCTTCTGTCAGTAGTGGAGCATGTCTAGATATCTCTCTTAACTTCTAGCTAACGTTCACATTTCCAAAAGATCTTCTGAGATGTTGCATAACTACAGTTACAGAATTTTATTTTGTAAACTTACTGGCAAAGTAGACTGAAACTTAGTCCTACTAGCCTTTTGGTACGGGTAGTTTTTTTTAGATTACTGTTTTTCCAAAATTGACACTATTGCTGCTGTTTGAAAATGGCTTTTACACATGTAGATAATACACAAAGCAACTTAACTTCTAATTTTTAAATTTAATGAACTACTATATGCTGTGACAAATAAGTGAATATGCCCTTTTGGAAAAGGGGCCAATCTATTTTGAAAAAGTTGTTGAGCTTCCAAACCTCAGTAAAGAATAAAAATCCAGATATCTATCAAGGTTTTAGTAATATTTTACAAGAAGACTGCTGCCTTTTTTTCCTTCAGGCTGATTTAAATAACTTCAAGCCTAATTTAAAAAAAAAAAAAAGCAGCAGCTCTTTTGTTTAATAAAGAACATGGGTTAAAATTTAAATATGAGAAATAGCCATAGTTAGCCTAGTATGAAAACCTAATTGTGTCAGAGGTTGAATGCACAGTGCTTAAATAGGCAGTTAAGACAATGACTGTGGCAGGTTGTGGTTTTGGATTCAGGTTGAAACCATGTGTAAACTTGCCTTGTGTAAATGTGATTGTTTTTGGGTATGATTCTATTCCTCCCTTGCATAAGCTGTGATCGGACTTAACTTCTGTATGAGAAATGAAAAATAAGATGTTACATATTGTACAAGGACTTGCTTAGTTGGAAGTATAGAGCAGGAAACAGGAGTGTTTGCCTAAATTATTTTTCCTGAGGAAGATGATGTACAAAGAAGAGCTTTAGCCCTCCTTTCCTTCCTCCCAGAGGCTGGCTAACATACCTGGTCTTCCACGTGGAATACGCGTGCTTGTTTAGGCCCATTTATATCCTAAATCACGTTGTTGCAAAGGATCGCAGCGTTCAGCACCTTTCACAGTGGGCCCTCACTGGCCCAACCTCTCTTCTTGTGAAAATGAACAAAAGGAGAGAGTGAGGTGGCCAGTTAATTACTTCTGGTACAGCCCCAGCTCGTGCAGCTTTCCCACAGCAAAGACCTGGGGTAGTGCTTGGGGTCTTCCAGTCTGGTTCGAAGAGGAGCTGCTTTGATATGAGGATAGGTAATCACCTGGTGCAATAGGTGTAACCCTTTCGCAGACCAGCAGGTATTCAAAAGTGCTTGCTTAGTGCACATGTGCCAGTGCTCTTCAGTATTTGTTGGCAGGGTGTTAACACTCAGTATCTCCTGTTTCTTTGCCTGTGTTTACACTCGGTTGTAAAACACTTTGCTGTACTGGCTGAAATACAGGTTTGGTGTCAGCTGTGTAGATGTGACCAAGCGTATGCCTGGAGTAGTAGGAAATCACACCATATCCATGTCTCACTGCTGGGTTAGAACATTGTTCTTTGCATTCTAGCCTTTTCCATGTAAAACTGTCCTACTGTTTTTAGGGACGCTACTTAAAACAATTGCACGGTGTAGGTAGGTCCGACAAAAGTGTGTCTTTTCTAAAAATCTTAATTAAAAAACTTAATGGTATCATTCTAGCTCCAAACAAGGGAAGTAAGAGAATGTGGTGGTTTAGCATTGGTTTTCCAATGGTGGATCTTTCGAGTGGCTATTATGATTAAGGTAATTGCAAGTGAAATTATTCTAAAGCTGTATATATTTTCTCTTTTTCATTCTGCTAAAGAGTGGATGGTAGCATAGGTGATACATTGTACTGTACCAAGAGTCCTAACTTTCATTCCTTGAATGAATGTTTTCGAAATAAATGGACACAGAAATAAAAGGGTGGAATATTGTACTTAACTGGGTTTCAGTTTAACCTGTTTGCCAGACTTTTTCAGATGGACCTAAATATAAGCTGTTTGTTCTGATCTACAGAGTGTGCAATAATAATGAAAATATTTAGCAGAGGTAGTTTGCTCGGTTGGTCAATTAACCATATGGGTGAAGCTGCAAGATCATTTAGTGGTGTTATTTCATACTTTTGCTTTTACTTCATGGTCGTTACAGTGGACAGGTTTTCTAATTGGCTTTGAGTGGGAGAAGGCATTTTCTTTTTAAATGGCCACCGTTTGGAGATAAGGGACATGGAGAGGACTCAGTACTGGAGTTCATCTCTGCTTTGGTGTTTATAAAGAAACATATCCCGACGTCTTCATAGCATCCTGGTCTCTGCTGTAGCTGTACAACAGCAGTGCAATACTGTATCCTCCTGGTTTAATAGTGTAAAACGAGGAGTCTGCACCCCCCAAGAACACTGCTATGAGGAGTGACCGTGTGTTGTCCTGGGCCTTGTCTGTGCTATGCCAGCAGAGGCTGGCTGCCTCATTGTCTCGTGAACGTCATTCTAGTTGCAGTTTTCTCTGGCAAAACTGCTTTTCTACGTTACTGTCTCCCCAGTTATGCCCAATCCCTTTGTGGATCTGTTTTCTAAAGTAAACTAGAGAAGTGGAGAGGAAAGGAATGCAAGGCTGTGCTGGAGAAATTGTAGCAGAGAACACTTATTTCCATGTCTCGATTTTTTTTTTTTTTTTTTTTTTTTTTTTTTTTTTTTTTTGGGGGGTTTTTTTTTTTTTTTTTTTTTTTTTTTTTTTTGTATTTCATGGAGAGTTTAATTTCTCTTGTCCTTCAGGCATTAAGTAATCATACAGTTAAGACTTACTGGACTGCAGATAAATGGCCGTGGGATTTTTAAGTCCAAGCAAGGCGATGCTTTGTTGTAGAAATTTAGGCCCGTTTACACAAACAATTGCAGATTTGATTTTTTCCCAAATATCATTCATAGTCTTATCTTCTGACCTGCTATCCTTAGTGCTGAAGCTGCGTTATATCCACTCCACTGTAATGTAACTTGCTGAAATGAGACTCTGGTAACTGAGGACTCAAAGATGCTTGACTTTTGAACCACACTGTATGGCAGCTCTTACAATGAATTGCTAGCACATGCTGCAGGGGTCTTCCTGCCCCACTAGCAGGTCCTGGCACTCACAGGTCATGCTGAGTAGCTGTTGAAGCCTTACATTTCATGGTTTTCAGATGAAACACCAGCTCTGTCAGCTCTTCTGAGAGAGGTTCAGAAGTGCTCATCTAATTTCCTTCTGAGGCTCTCTCTGGAGCCGGTAGTTAGCGGCCACATTTCCCTCTTTGCTTTTGCTCCTCTCTGTTTCTTCCTGATCCTTGCATCTTTCTTAGTCCATGTGGACAAGAAAAATGAGAGATTGGAGGTGGAGACGGTCCCAGATTGAGAGGGCCAGAGCAGCAATCTATCCAGTTTATCCTGATGCTGTTAATGTTTGGGACCAAGGTCTAAGGTGCTGATCCTACAAAAAGTGTGAGGGATGGCAAAAAGATAAAGGTAACTTGAAGAGAGATTTGTGTTACTGATCATGCAGAAAAGAGGGAAGTGGACTAAGGAGAAGTTAAACTCTCAAAAAGGAGAGGAAAATGGCTTCTCAGTGAAATGTTACAAGCAATTCAGCATTTCTGTTCCTCTGGATGCAGAGCTTCGCTGCTTGTGAAAGAGACTCCATTGGCCCCTCTGTGAAAGGCCTGATTTTGCTGAAGTCAGTAGCAGCACTCTTACTAAGCTCAGGAACAAGCCAGATAAAAACACAAACAGTAAATTTCAGTTCTGAAGAGCTCAGCTTTTGCCAGTAGAGCAAACAACCTGGATTGTGTTAAACTCTCCTCTGACAGCTTCAGTCTACGTTACTAGAGAACTTGGAAGCATAATCCCGGTGTCTTGAGGTTCTAAGTCTTTCGGGTTTTTTTCATGGTCTACAGCTGATAAAGCCTGCTTTCAGATAATATTGTTTTCAACCCTGA